GTGTAGTTGTTTGGGACTATTTCCAATTTCACCATTCTGGTGCAAGAGTGGTTTGAGCATCACCCACATTTCAGGATGGTGCTCCTTCCAGAATATTCTGCTCTTGGAGAGTATGATCACAACCATACGTGTAGGAGCCATCAATATTTGACGTTTTAGGCGCCCTTTAGCGTCACCTACATGACGCGATCCTACGGCGTCATCTAACTGACGCTAAAGGAAAGCGTCAGTTAGAGGACGCGGTTAGGTTTAGGTGTGGGGTGGGGGTAGGGTACACGCGATCCTAGGGCGTCATCTAACTGACGCTAAAGGGCGCCTAAAGCGTCAGATATTGAAGCATGTCCAAATGCTTCCCAAGGCGTCAGTTAGGTGACTCCTTGGGGGTGAGAATGGGCTGCTATACATGGGGGGACATTTCAAAATCTAAGTTTTGTAGGAATGTACTACAAGCATGCTGTAGGTCACCGAGGTCTGGACCTCTTTATTTTTTAGAGGTGTGTATAATAAAGCTTGTGAAATTATTGACTTTAGTGCTGCAAGGATATTCCACAGCATCAAGATAATTTGTTAATGGTCATAAAGTGTGAGCTAAGATGCAAGTGCTGTAGCTAAACATTTCATAATTGACAGCTGTTTTAAATGACCAACAAAAATAATCAGGCAAACTAATAAAGTTGACTCATTTCACAATTGTATTGGCCTATTTTCAATTCATAATTGTGAAATTATGTAACATTCATGTGCAGTTCACTTTCTCTGGGAGTCTAAGCTGAAAGCTCTGCCATCATATGTTGCTTTTTGCATTTTTTTTCTTCATTGGACGCGCAGGAAATGACTAAATTAGTGATTATGTCTACACTGACCGAGTCTATTTCTTTTGTTCTCATATGTTGCCTCATATCTGTGAAAAATCACAGATCTAATTACCTTTTGTTCATGTGACATTTTGTCCTCAACAATGTTAAATTGAATTAAAATGTTGGTAATGTATCTTGTAATAAACATTTAACAAATGAAAACCTCAAGATGTTTATTATAAATAAAGACAAACTTTTTGCTCAGCTGTAGGCAAAGGCAAGGGCGTTTCAAATCAGCGTATTTTAGCGCCATCTGCTGTTTTAGAAGAGAAATTACTCATCTGCATTTATGAGAAAATCTGCCTGGACACATTTGTGAGAAAATCGAGCCGAAAGATCTCACAATCAGAAAGGCCAGATAGATATGCATTTGAAAAAAGTTTAAATACCAAAGAATTGAACATGAACTTGGAATTGCAATACAATAAAGTATACTGCCAATTACAGTAAATAAACTAATACATTCAGCATCCTTGGCCAAATTGCATTGCAGTGGTAATGAGCATATTTGCTACACTATAACAGTATCTTCTGACAAAAGACTTTCTCTCACTCATGAGAGAAAAATTAGGTCTGAGAATGTAATTTCTTCCCAGTGCATGTTGGACGGTTCTGTTCATAACTTTTATGGACAGAATTTCTAGGCGCAGCCAGGGGCCGGAGGGTGTCAGGTTTGGGGACCACATGATTTCCTCTCTGCTCTTTGTGGATAATGTCGTGTTGGCCCCTTCAGACCAGGACCTTCGGAATGCACTGGGACGGTTTTTCAGCCGAGTGTGAACGTGAAGCAGCTGAGATGAGAATCAGCACCTTCAAATCCGAGGCCATGATCCTCAGTCGGAAAAGGATGGCTTGCCCACTTCAGGTTGGTGGAGAGATCCTGCCTCAAGGAGTTTAAGTATCTTGGGGTTTTGTTCATGAGTGATGGAAGGATGGAACGGGAGATTGACAGACGGATTGATGCAGCTTCTGCAGTAATGTCAATTTTATCTATAGACCATTTCACAAGATGTAAACAACACTGGCCCAGAAGCACTTTCTGTTTCAGTTTGTAACTGTTTTCTTTATTTCACATGTAAAGAAAACATCTTAAAGATGTTTGTTAAACTTTTTGATTCAGTTTTAAATGTTCTGTTGGTTGTATTTTATCCCAGCTTTTATGTAGTGTTAAAAAACTGAAACAGGAAGTGCTTCTGGACCAGTGTTGTTTACGTCTTGTGAAATGGTCTATATCCATCTGATGCTTATTACATTTAGTTTAGCCCACTAAAGCAGCTAAAGTCTCTGTGAACAAAGTGGTTTGAAGGCCGTTAATGATGGCTGTTTTGCTAACTGTTTGCGGTGCAGAACCCTTGGGCGGCCAGGGTGGTGAAGCCTGAGGACCAGACATGTGAATGTAAAGAGAACTGGGTCATTTCTCATTTCTCCATGTCTACATGACTGCATATAAGTGAAAGAATATTTTTACCTTGGAGATAAATCTTTTTACTGGGATTCTGCTTTGTCTGTGGTTATTCAAATAAATTGTCAAAAAGGAGGGCTTTTTTTTTTAACCTAAAGTAGGGTCCATACAACCCACTTTTAATATTTGGCATGTTGTGCTATAACAACCAAATTATCAAACGTTTCTCAATAAACTCATTGGCTTATGTACTATCATCATGCACATGCTAAACTTATATCTTAATATGTTACTGTAAATCTACATTGTTCTTAATGGGGGCACTATTTGTTTTCCTCTATTTTACATATTATTAGTTGTATATAATTGTAATTGTTTATACTTACTTATACTATGAGAGTTTTTTCCTCTCTTTGTTTCTCTTTTTGTTTGTTTATTTTTTTTGCTATTACTTTGGTGGTGTAATTCTATTCTGTATTTGCATGTACTTAAAATTTTCTGGCAATACTATAAACCAAATGTCATGACAGATGGTTGGGGGTCTTCAAGGTTGAAATGAAAACAAAACATAGAAGGTTGAAAAACAAAAACATATTTGAAACGCCTTCTGTCAATCGCTTGAATCTCTCATTGGCGTATACTCATGTCAGTCATCTTCTGCACTGTGATTGGTCAGTACGCGTACTTGCAATGTAGATCCGAGATGAATCGCTTGTGTGTTTCTTTGTGTTTATAGCTATTTTTTTCCCCCCGTGTGGTTAACCTGCCGTGCGGGCGTGTATCCGAGTTTTCCGGTCAGTCATCACTGCATATATTAGCGCTTTGGAACGTGTAACCTAACCAAACTGTTACCGGATCAAAGACTGTTTATTGCTGCGGTTTCCGGACAACTGAGGACCAGATAGCGCCCCAAGTAACCGTGATATTCGGGGTTCCTCTGGCGCCGCGGGAGGCGTAGTGCGTTCGGCCAACAAACGAGCGAGAGGACGAGGAGCTGCGCGCGGCCGGCTGCTGGAATCGCGGATTGCCGCAGTTGTTCTCACGCGGAATTGGAGGTATTTGTTTTGTTTTAGTTGTGCTCAGGAGAGTGAAGGGGCCATTTGTCGTTTTCCCGGCCACCACGAACACAAGCCACGATTCAGGCCTGCAACGGGGTGGGATTGTATGACTGGTGTGTGTGTGGGCCCACAACTGTTTATTCAGTGTATTTTGTGTTAAACATTGCACGGATAACGTGAACTATTCAGAGTATTTCTGTTTATAATTAGGAAGTTATCTTGGGTTTTACTTTATTGGGTATACAGCTAATTTATATTGTTTTTTTGGCCGGTATTCTAATTCCTGTGCGTTTGGCATCAGAGTTATTGTCAGCTGGGACTGAATTGTGATCCAGTTAACGTGAGGATAATTGTGTGAATATTTCACACATTTACATTAATTCCTTGAGCCATTTAATATTCAACATTTCTATTTCAATTAAATCTTATTTTGTTCTGTAATTTTACTTGTGTTATTTCTTGAAAGTGTCGGTTTACGCCATTGTTTTAGGGGGGTGATACATTTAATTTGAGTAACGTTAATATAGTACAAGGAGAGAAGAGCTTATCATTTAAGTTCTAAAATACAAATTTACTTCACTTAGTGACACCAGAGGGGCCTAACGTCAACATCTGTAGGCATATAGTAAGTGAACTTGGGGCGCTGTTCTCTATCTAGATCAGGTAGGGGGCGCTACATATATATTATTATTATTATTATTATTATTATTATTATTATCCGTATTATCTGTGCTTCCACATCCACTGGATCGTCTTCAAAAGGATACGCCATGCAAACATTAAAGTGGCAAGTTCTAAATAACGGTGGCCTTGAAAAACTCACGCTGGGGGGTCAGTTAGAATATTTTAAACTTACGTGTGAAAGGGTTTTAAACTAAACAAAAAAAAATTTTTTTTTAAATGAGCAGGTTTTTATGTCTCTTTATTCCATTCCAAACAGGAAATCGAATGACCAAAAGATACACGGACCAGCTAAGCTAAGTGTCGTAGCTAAACAATTCATAACTGAATTGACAGCTGTTTTAAGACAGAAATGTTAAGTGACCAACAAATATAATCAGGCAAACTAATAAAGTTGACAAATTTCACAATTGTATTGGCCTATTTTCAATTCAAAATTGTGAAATTACGTAACATTCATGTGCAGTTCACTCTCTCTGGGAGTCTAAGCTGAAAGCTCTGCCATCATATGTTGCTTTTTACATTTTTTTTCTTCATTGGACGCATGAGAAATGACTAAATTAGTGATTATGTCTACACTGTCTGTTTCTGTTGTTCTCATATGTTGTCTCATCTGTGTAAAATCACAGATCTTATTACCTTTTGTTCATGTGGCATTTTGTCCTCAACAATGTTAAATTGAATTAAAATGTTGGTAATGTATCTTGTAATAAACATTTAACAAATGAAAACCTCAAGATGTCTATTATAAATAAAGACAAAAAAGTCTTGTGTCTTCTGACAAAAGACTTTCTCTCACTCGTGAGAGAAAAATGAGGTCCGAGAATGTCGTAATGTTAGGTTTGTGCAGGGATGCTTGAATCTGTGTGTGTGAACATGAGCAAAACTAAAAAAAAAAAAAAAAAAACCTAGGTGGATTTAAAAATGAATCCTCAAAATTAGTTGATGAATACGTACATTTTCTTGTTTCAAATTCAAGTTTATCACATCTGAACACAATCTAGTACAGAAAACACAAGCTATATATTCAGTCCATATGTCTGATTGTAAAATGTGAAGATCTCTATCAGTATTCAGTGCATCAGGAGTAAGTATGAGAGCAGAGAACCGCAGAGTATCAGGACGCTCTGGATGACACTCTGAGACCCGTTACACAGGTTCCCCTCACAACAGGAAATGCCCTCAACACTAGGGATAAATGTGGCATCACAAATAGATTTTGACGCACAGCCTTTTGCAACAGCTGACAGGCTTCCAACAGTCACTGATGGAAAGAAAGAAAACAAAGGTTGAGTTAGTCTAAGCTGGCAGGTGCTGTATGATTTGTATCACATATCTAAAATAAATGGAGAAACAAAAATAACAACAATCTTCGTCCTTTTCCAGATTTCACCTGTTGCTTTAACACACCGATCTTCAGTCCCTGAACAGCTCACTGTGTTTTAGCAGGTCTGTCCATCACAGTAGAAACATTTCTTTCCATTATGGGTGTTAGAGGGATCTACAGGAGGAAAACATGTAGATTAATTCGATTCTGTGTTAAATATAATCTAATGAAACAACACTCCTTTAGCTTCTCCATTTAATCAGTTCACAGCACACAAGCCACACCCTGCTTTTTATATCCTGATTGAATGTCCTTTGAAAGTAAAATGAATTGAAAAAAGAAGATAGTCATTTGCACAAGAACACTGAAGCATATACCTGGAGCATCTTGGACGTTACACTGATCTGTGTTACAGCAGGAAGAAGACATCTTTGAATTGCCGAGATTCATGAACCCACTTTGACAGTCAACAGCACAATCTTTAACCTTCACTTTTACACTAAGTAGATCTAAAATATGAATGATACAGAAAAGACAAGTACATGTTTTTTGGTGGGAAAATTATTTGTATTTCTTATTTCAAATGTTTTTAATAATACAATTGTCATTGTTAGCAAAATAATCAGATAGAAAACAAATTAAACAGCAGAAATAAATAGAATATTCTGTGAATGAATTTGTAAATTCTGCCAAGAAAACAAGTCAAATTTATATGAGGTTACATTTACACCACTCGATCTGTCATGCTGGTCTTCCTACCTTGTCTTGCTGCTGTTAAACTCAAGCACTGAGAAGATCCACCAGGACAAGTTTTCAACTTCTGATCCACACAAGAACCCGTCAGACCCGTGCACTCATAACAGCTGAGAGAGTGTCCTTTAGTAAGAAAAAAGAAAGATACATCAATTATCTGTATTTGTACCCAGTAACATCACAAACATTATTTGTCTTTGTACCTGCAGTGAAGAGAATGAACAGAAGAAAAACTGAGATTTGCATATACATATTTTATCAGGAGGAGAGTGGAATAAAGTGTCTGTTTCAGTGCCACTTTATAGCTTATCAAAGGGGAGGATCTTCATGAGAAAATGAAAGTAGAGAAGTAGAAGCCTCAGATTACACGATTTACTTGCCACTTAACGATAAACGAAAGTTAAATAAGGAAATTACAAGCATGGTGCAGGTCTACCTAAAGCAACCTTCATAGTTCACCCAAAAATCATACATACCTCTTAACAAAATGTTGCAAGTGCAACATCATTTATGTGAAAAGATGTGGTAAACTATTTCTGGGAATAGTGAGATGCAAATATGTAGTGACAAAAGTAAACATTTTTACCTATAAATTGTTAGAGCTGCAAAAAGAAGATGGTCTGATAAAAATGTTGGTGAAAGTAAATCTTTTTTTTTTTGTATTTTAATTGTGATAACCTCCATAAACCTGCAACCCTTTGGAGATGAATTACATGTTAGATCAGATGGTCTCAATCTCAATCAACCTTTTATCATTGCATGTGTAGCAGATCCAGTTCTGTAAAGAATTCCAGACAGAAGCACGGCTTCAAAACGACAGCATTTATTGACCCTGGAAACATGAGAAAAGATCAGAAGTAATATACTTGCACCAACCTCTTCCCACATTACACAATATTAACTGGGAAGAGTGAGAAGAAAACATGTGCGTCTTGCCTCCCCAGAGGCCATTGCGATCCGAGGCTGGCTGGTTAATAGTTCATTGCCACAATAGCATTACATGACTCACTCGTATAAGTATTTAACACAAAATGAAACTGAAAGTATTTTACTCCATAGGAAAATTATTTTAGGAAGTTCATAAAATAAAAATAAAATACACAATTATCTCCTCCCAACTTGCTACACATTGAATATTACATGCGACAAACATGTCTAAAGAAGTATTGTGGTGGTTTCCCTTTTTTTTTATTTTTAGGATACTTTATAGTTTATAGTTTTAGAAGAGAAAAAAAATCCGTTGAGCACTAAATGTTTTAATTTTTTTGTGCGCTGGTTGTTATTCGGTCAAACCACAGTAGAATGTCATAGCTGAGATGTAAGCTGTGTCCCAATGTGAAGGCTGCGTACTTCGAAGGCTGTAGACTTCGAAGGATGCAGCCTATTTGGCCTTCGAAGGACGCTTCATGTAGCCTTCGTGGGATTTCCTAATTGCGAGGTGTTCCCAGGTGTTCCCTATTACTGCTCCTGGCGCCAAGCAACGGAGCGAGAGTAGCTGCCACCCTGATCATTCATTTAATGAAACTGAGTAAACAGCTATGGAGACAGGCGTTACAACGTTACCCCTTATAATGTCGAGTGGGTAAACAGTTTCCGTTATAAATTGTTTCAATGGTGGCAGTAAAATTTAAATTTTGAAGAGAAAACATTGTGAATACCCTGGGTCAACTGCCCCTGTCTGGTGCCCTGGGCGAGTACAAGACGTGGACATTCGCGTATAATAACAATTATTAAATGACATGAGTAAAAAAAATATAATAAATATGTGATATAGTGATAAGCAAAATCTCCTCTCTTGCTGTTTTTTTCTATTCAATTAACATGCTATGGTCATTAAATGGCTTTCCTGAGCTAAATGAAACGTTATGTGACATAATAGTTTTCCTGCTGTTATATTGACCTCTTTCCATGGTTTAAAAACACTAATTGGTCGATATTATGTATACTTTCTAGCTGTAACGTTACCTTACCCTTGCCTGTTGCAATGTGAAAATGAGATAAATAATGGACACAAATGAAAAACATGAATTTGTTTATTTGATTTCATTCATTTATTTATTTATTGTTGCCAAATGAACAGATCTTTTTATAGTTTCCTCGTTAGCAAACGTTAGCCTAGCTAGCTTGCCAAGCTATTTTCATAAATAACGTTAATCTGTAAGATCGTTTGTACCTTCATCTGTGACTGGAGGCCACTGCAGTCGACGAGCGGGAGCAATGCTGACTAATGAGTTGATGAAAAGATGAATAAGAAAAAAACAAACGAAAAAAAAAAACTTTTGGCTGTTAACACTGGTTTCTCTGGCTATTTGAGTAAATAAAAACATAATACTTTTACATTTAAATGTGAATTTGCCGTCCACCACTGAACTCTCGGCCACCCTTTTTTTAAATAAAAATGCTGTCGTCACCCGCGCAATGATTTATGGGGTAGGATCGGGTAGTCGCGAAGTGTCCATTTATGTATCCTTCCTTTCACGGGGAAACGAAGGGTGCATTTGGCGTCGCTTTTGAATCAGGTAAGCCTTTGTCGCGCTGCAATGACGCAACCGGCCTTCGAATATGGCCTTTGGAGGATGCATAACTGAATTGGGACAGCCTTCATCCCACCACGATGACGCAATCGGCCTTTAAATGCGGCCTTCGCGCATGCAGCCTTTGAATTGGGACGTCCTTCGTCGCGCGGCTGTGACGCAATCGGCCTTCAAATACGGCCAAGCATTCTTCAAATACGGACTTCGGAGGATGCAGCCTTCACATTGGGACACAGCTACTGATTTACCAGCCCAGTAATGCCAACGTTAGCTATAAAAAGCGAAGAGCCAACTTTAATAGGCTACATCAAAGTTATTGGTGGCAAGTGTTAAATATGCAGTTTTACACCACAGTTTCCTGCCACGTTAACTGCCACCTTAACGTGGTGAAAGGGTTTGAAGGGGTTCGACCCTAGGAGCTATGTTTTCCAGGGCTATATGCCAAGGCAATATCTCCCAAGGCAAACAGGTCCTAGGCGACAGGTCAGACTAAGAGCGGTTCAAAAACCCTTATGAGTAAAATTAAACCAAGGACTGTGACGTCGCCCGGTATGGCACAGCTGGGGCCACACCCTGGAGCCAGCCCTGGGGTTTGAGCTCGTATGCGAGCACCTGGTGGCCGGGCCTCCCCCCACGGGGTCCGGACGGGCTCAGCCCGAAGGAGTGACATGGGGCCGCCTTCTCGTGGGGAGTCATATCGGGCCTGGTTGGCTTGTAGGACTGCTGAGGCAGCTGACAGGTACCGGCAGGCCAAGCAGACTGCAGCCCGGGTGGTTGTGGAGGCAAAAACTCGGGCCTGGGAGGAGTTCGGTGAGGCCATGGAGAAGGTCTCTCGACTTGCCTCAAAGAAATTCTGGCAAACTTTCCAGTGCCTCAGAAGAGAGAAGCAGTGCCCTACCAATGCCATTTACAGTGGAGGATGGCGGATGTTGACCTCAAATGGGGATGTCGTCGGACCGTGGAAGGAATACTTAGAGGATCTTTACAATCCCGCCACCACATCTTTTATTGAGGAAGCGGAGGCTGAGGGCTCGGAGGTGGACTCGCCAATCTCCCTAGCTGGCAGTCAAGAAACTCCTTGATGGAAAGGCACCGGGGGTGGATGAGATCTGCCCTGAGTACCTCAAGTCTCTGGATGTTGTGGGGCTGTCTTGGATGACATGCCTCTGCATCATCGGGTGGTGCAGACCGGGGTGGTGGTCCCTCTTTTTAAGAAGGGGGACTGGAGGGTGTGATCCAACTAAAGGGGGGTCACACTTCTCAGCCTCCCTGGGAACGTGTATGCCAGGGTACTGGAGAGGAGAATACGGCCAAAAGTGGAACCTTGGATTCAGGAGGAACAGTGTGGTTTTCGTCCGGGCCATGGAACACTGGACCAGCTCTATACCCTCTACAGGGTGCTGAAGGGTTCATGGGAGTTTGCCCAACCAATCCACATGTTCTTCGTGGATTTGTAGAAGGCATTCGACTGTGTTCCTTGTGGCGGCCTGTGGAGGATGTTCCGGGAAGTGTGGGGTCCGGGGTCCTTTGCTAAGGGCTGTCCGGTCCCTGTATGACCAAGGCAGGAGCTTGGATCGCATTGCCGACAGTAAGTCAGATTTCTTCCTGGTGCATGTTGGACTCCGGCAGGGCTGCCCTTTGTCACCGGTTCTGTCCATAACTTTTATGGACAGAATTTCTAGGTGTAGCCAGGGGCCGGAGGGTGTCAGGTTTGGGGACCACATGATTTCGTCTCTGCTCTTTGCGAATAATGACGTGTTGGCCCCTTCAGACCAGGACCTTCAGGATGCACGGTTTTTCAGCCGAGTGTGAAGCGGGTGCAGCACCACCAAATCCGAGGCCATGGCCCTCAGTCGTAAAATGGTGGCTTGCCTACTTCAGGTTGGTGGAGAGATCCTGCCTCAAGTGGAGGAGTTTAAGTATCTTGGGGTTTTGTTCATGAGTGACGGAAGGATGGAACGGGAGATTGACAGACAGATTGGAGCAGCTACTGCAGTAATGCGGTCAATGTACCGGTCTGATGTGGTGAAGAAGGAGCTGAGCCGCAAGGCGAAGCTCTCGATTTACCGGTCAGTCTACGTTCCTACTCTTACCTATGGTCATGAGCTTTGGGTCATGACCGAAAGGTCAAGATGCCGGATACAGGAGGCCGAAATGAGCTTTCTACGCAGGGTGGCTGGGCGATCCCTTAGAGATAGGGTGAGAAGCTTGGTCACTCGGGAGGAGCTCAGTGTAGAGCCGCAGCTCCTCCACATGGAGAGGGGCCAGCTGAGGTGGCTTGGGTATCTGTTATGGCTCCTGGACGCCTTCCCGGGAAGGTGTTCCAGGCACGCCCCACTTGGAGGAGACTCTGGGGAAGACATAGGACACGCTGGAGGGACTTTCTCACAGTTGGACACAGACAAACAAGTCCCACGATTTTCTTTTTTTAACAGAGATGGCTGAGACATCTTCGCTCTAAACATCATTCACACCACAGAAACAACAACTTAACTTAATGCAAATCATTCGCTATATTACAATGTTTCAACTTTTTGTTAATCGTTATATGATCTGCTTCGTCAATTTTATCTATATCCATCTGATGCTTATTACATTTAGTTTAGCCTACTAAAGCAGCTAAAGTCTCTGTGAACAAAGTGGTTCGAAGAGCGCTAATGATGGATGTTTTGCTAACTGTTTGCTAACCCCCCCCTTATTTCTTAAGATCTTAAAGGGGTCATATAATGCCATTTTCATACAAGTTAATTTGATTCTTTAGGGTCTAAATTAAAAGTTTGTAATATACTTTAATTACAAATTCTCATCAAACACTAATTTTACCTGGTCAAAAACAGCTCTGTTTTCAGGATGCTATTTAAGTTAAGTGCATGTGTTTACTGATGTATATGTACAATAACACAATGACCGCAACGTGTTGTTCATTATAAACGTGGGATTATGAATTATATTGAGAACGTCGTACATAGAAAACATGCCGCAATGTACCCTGAGTATAAACCTTATAGCCTCATTGTGAAGCGTGCAAGCGATTTGCAAAGATGAATATAAAGGTTAATAAAACTTTACACTCACTTCTTCTGGAGGTGCAGCAGGAACACGAATGGTGCCGTACCTTAATTTTGAAGGTCATATGGGTCAGCCATCAAACACTGAACTGGACTAGAAAAAGCAACAGTATGAACTATTGGTGGTGGAAACGCAAGCCGGATCATGGTGTACCCGTACCGACCCGTACTGTACTGTGCCGTACCGTACCCCTCAGCCATTTAAAGAGGTCTGAGACCACATTTTTTTTAAGTGGACCAAAAAAAAAAGGATCTAAGCCCTCTTTCAGGCACTGTGTGAATGTAAAGAGAACTGGGTCATTTCTCCATGTCTATATAACTGAATATAAGTGAAAGAATATTTTTACCTTGCAGATAAATCT